AATAATTCATTTTTCCTGTATGGAAACAATTCAAGCTTAGATTCAGCAACAGCATACCCTCCCAGCCTGCCACATAGGCAGCAGTCCCCCAAGCTTCAAATCCCAAGGGCATTCCCATGCTCTGTTCCAAGACCTTCGGCAGGATTATTGGCAGAGACAAAGCTCCCACTCTCCTTGGCTGTGTGCTCTTAGACAAGTGACTTAACCTCCTTGTGCTTCCATTTCCTTATCTGCAAAATGGGTATTATAAAAATCTAGCCTGAAAGGTTGTGATAAGTGTTCAGTGAAAGCACAGACTTGCTAGGCCCTGTTACACAGAGGATGCTTGGTAAATGTTACCCCTTCCCTCCAAAAACAGGAGGCAAAGGACCCAGCTGGGATGGGATTCTACATGGGAAGAGGTAAGAGAGGGACTGAAAGAATGAGACAAAGCTTCCATGCCAGGTGTGGTGTCTCACGCCTATAATCCCAGCACTTTGGGAGGCTGAGGCTGGTGGATCACCTGAGGTCAGGAGTTCAATATCAGCCTGGCCAACCTGGTAAAATCCCATTTCTACTAAAAATACAAAACTTAGCTGGCCATGGTGGCAAACACCTGTGATCCCAGCTACTCAGAAGGCTGAGGCAGAACGATTACTTGAACCCAAGAGGCGGAGGTTGCAGTGAGCTGAGATCACACCACTGCACTCTAGCCAGGGCGACGGAGCAAGACTCTGTCTCGAAAAAGACAAAAAAACAGCTAGGCACGGTGGCTCACACCTGTAATCCCAGCACTTTGGGAGGCCAAGGCAGGTGGATCACCAGGTCAAGAGATCAAGATCATCCTGGCCAACATGGTGAAACCCCATCTCTACTAAAAATACAAAAATTAGCTGGGTATGGTGGCGCATGCCTGTAATCCCAGGTACTCAGGAGGCTGAGGAAGGAGAATCGCTTGAATCCGGAGGCAGAGGTTGCAGTGAGCCGAGCTTGCATCACTGCACTCCAGTTTAGGGGGCTAACTGAATCTGGGGTTGCACCAGATCTATGTATGAGCAGAGGTTTAGGGGATGTATGTACTACAGAGTGAACCCTGACTTTGAGGCTGACTCTTGCAAAGCTCCAGCCTCCAGATTCAGCGGCTCTGTTCAGTTGATGCAAAAGTGAGTGTGGTTTTTACCATTCCTTTCAACAGCAAAGATTTCAACCACTTTTGCACCAATGTAGTGTATTTGATGCCGTCAAAGCCAAGCTGAACTGCCAGCCTGTCTGTGAGCTCATGCCTGGGGGAGATCAGAATTTGAGGTAAGCTATGAATTCGAAGTACCCGCACAGTGAACCTCAAAATCTTGGATTATCTGTGAGCCTATGTATGGGGGTCATCTGAATCTGGATGTGAACTCACATCCAAGGAATGGGGTCTGTTTGGGAGCCCAGCTCATGGGGGCCACAGCAGCCCTAGAGGTGTATCTGGGAAGGACACGGTCCTCTCAGGGCAGTAAGGAGTGACTCTAGGGCAGATTCTGAGCAGCTAGTGAACACCCACCCAGTTCCGTATCCTTTCGTTCATCTTGCACCCCTCTTCCAATGCACACAATCCTAACCTTGGTCTCGCCACTCCCCAGCATCCTGCCCTCCCACCCCCTGGTCTACTCTGAATTGCTATCTCTCTGGGAATTACAGTTGCTGAACCCAAGTCTCAGGTGCCCCCGCTTTCCTTCCCTGGGGCAAGAAGAGTCAAGGGATGGGGAGAGAAAGAGCCCGCCATTCCCTCCTCCTCCACCAGGGCAAATCCTGCCCAAATCGCCCTTCAGGGCCCAGGCAAAGCAGATCCGATTCTTGGGGAGCTTGGAGGCCTGCTGCCTTATCTAAGTCTCTGGAACAAGCATTTTGCATTTATTTCCCCAAATGTGTTGCCGAATTGCGTTCCAGCCCATGGCTCCCAGCCATCTGCTGAGAGAAATCCAGTTAGACCTTGTATAATAAGTTCCTGACAATCTTGCTGAGGACGCTGGGTCATAAAAGTCTCCTGGTTTTATCGCCGGTAACAGACACGGAGTGAAATTAAGTTGTCTTATCAAATTTAGATAATATATATCCCTCTAGAGTAGCAGGCTCTGCATGGGGCTTTCACGGTATGAACCCAGGAGGGGAACAGGGAATGGCAGAGTGTTCCTGGGGATGTGGCTCAGGGTGGGGGCCATCCTGGAGAACCTGGCAGGACTGACAGGCAGCAGGGCAGGGTTACTAGCATCCCAGGTTTCAATGTCAACCAGACCTGGGTTTGAAACCTGGCTCTATCATTCCCATGCTGAGAGAACTTGGAAAATTTGCTGCTGAGGACCTCAGTTTCCTCAGGAGGCAGATGTCTGCCTCCTGGTTTATTGTGAAATTTAAATGAGATGCTACATGCAACAGACTTAGCCCAGTGCTTGGCATGTAGTGAGCACTCGAAACATGTTATCAGTGGACTGGGCATGGCAGCTCACACCTGTAATCCCAACGCTTTGGGAGGCCAAGGCAGGAGGATCGCTTGAGGCCAGAATTTTGAGACCAGCCTGGGCAACATAGGGAAACTCTGTTACTACCAAAATAAAAACAAAAAATTCACCTGGCATGGTGGCCTGTGCCTATAGTCCCAGTTACTAGGGAGGCCAAGGCAGGAGGATCACCTGAGTCCAGGAGGTCACAGCTGCAGTGAACTACGATCACCCCACTGCACTCCAGCCTGGCTGACACAGCAAGACCCTGTCTCTTAAAAAAATAAAGTCTGTAATTTGAGAATGGGAGAAAAATACTTTTTGGTCCATTCTCTTCCCATTTTACAGGTGGAGAAACTGAAGCTCAGAGAGGGAGTGGACATGGACAGTGGTCACACAGGCAGACCGGGCTCTCAGTCACTGCTTCAGGGCTGAGCAATCCCAACTGACCGCCGCCCCAACCAGGCCTTCTGAAAGAGGCTGGAAGTTGCCCTTTCCTGCCTTTGCTGTGGTCCTGCCATTCAGTGCCTTGCCCGGGAAATGGACATACATGGTAAGAAGCCTGGCTGTCCCTTGGCTCCAGGAATGGACTCTCAGGACATTGCCCAGTGCCAGGCTTCTCTAGGCCTCCCCAGCTGGTTCAGGGAAGCTTGTCTCATTGCCTCAGGAGGGGACTCTCATACCAGCGTTGACCTACTTTTCTCCCACAGCCAGGATGCCTCTCTCTGGCAACTTCACACTTTGGTTTACATACCTCCAGTGATGCAGAGATCATTACCTTACCAAGCAATCATTCCATTTCCCCATCCTGGACTTAAGACAAACCCAATGTTCTGACTTCCAAGCTAAGACTCATTCATTCTAGAACCACCCCTGTCACCACAGCTTTCTCTCAGCATGGCCTGAGTATGTGTGAACCTGTATGCGCGTTGGTGGGTTTCTCTGTGTGTTCCACACTGAGGTCTGAAGAGAGAGGAAATGAACTGGGAACAGTTCTGTATACCAGGACTCAGGGCCTGTAACACAATAGGCACTCAAAAAAAAAAAAAAAAAAACAGTCACACAATAGCTAACCTTTACTGAGCATTCCATGTCAAGCATGAATTCCATGCATTAATTTATGTAATCATTATCATAACCCTGGGATGCTGTTACCATTATTATCTCCACTTTACAGAGAGGGAACCTGAGGCACAGAGAGGTGAGATAACTTGCCCAAGGTCACACAGCCAAGACACAGTAGAGCCAGGATTTGAATGGTGAGAGTCCAGAGCTGTTACTCATACCTCCCAGGTGAAAATTATTGGGTATGAAAAAAGGGAAGGGAAGAAAGGAAGGGCAGACCCAGGTAAGTATCTCTATCTCTCCCAAGTAGCCTGGGCTGCTGGAGGGCAGGAAACCTGTATTTCTCATCTCTCTCTCTCCCAGAATCTAGCACAGTGCTTGGCAAACATTAGTGGCCAGTAAACAAGAAATGTTTATTAAATGAATGTTGAATCCAGGCATGGTAGCTCACACCTGTAATCCCAGGACTTTGGGAGGCTGAGGCAGGAGGATCGCTGGCATCCAGGAGTTCGAGACCATCCTGGGTAACATAGAGAGACCCTGTCTCTACAAAAAGTCAAAAATTAGCCAGGCGTGGTGATGCATGCCTGTAATCTCAGCTCCCTGGGACGCTGGTGGAGGGGGGGTGTCAAGGCTGCAGTGAGTCATGATTGTGCCAATGCACTCAGTGTGTGTGACAGAGTGAGACCCTGTCTCAAAAAAAAAAAAAAGAAAATCAAACATGAATGTTTACACATCATAGTCATATTTTTCTCCCCTACTATCCCTAGAGCCCTTGAGGATCAGGAACTGAACGATTTTCATCTCTGTAGAGTTGCCACTAGCCCATTCTACCTGAATTAGAGGTACCCCCTCTAGGGAGGCACAATCCTGTGGATTTGGCTTGACAAGCTAATGCCCCATTGTGCAAAGAAAATAAAAAGCCCCCTCGCCTGGTGCCAGGGCTCCCAGGTTGACAAGGGGAGTCCCCACTCCTGCAGGCACACCTCTGTGCAGCACACAACTTGAAAAACTGCCCATGGAAATTCTGCCGTGGCTTCCAGGGGCCAGGGCTGAGCCTGAGCATCAACAGGCATTGTGTTTATTGAACAACTGTTTGCCAGTACTCACCTTTTTTCTACCCTGTTTCACCCACAGCCAGTCTGAGCCCCAAGACAGTGATTGGTGAAAGAGCCACCAGCTGGGTGTGATGTGGCCATGGTGCCGATGGGGGAGTTCGCAGACGTAAAACGGACAGGCAGGGTCAGACATAATTGGTAAATATTTGTCTATCTAATCAGAGGGCCTTTTAATTAGCAATTTCATCCTTGCAACTGGTTTATTTTTTTTTTTTCTTTCTGCGGGAAGTCAATTAAATGTAACAGATGGAGGAAAACATGGGGGTTTCCTTGTCTCCCACCATCTGTCCCATCCCATTCCACCCCCAGCTGTGCCCGCACCTCATTGGTGGGGCTGCCTGCCAGTTTCCAGAGAAGGGCAGTGCTAAGGGACATAAACAAAGGCGGGATTCCTGACCCCCAGGAAGCCCTCTTTGGTCTCTCTGGCCACCCAACACATGCAGGCTGATCCTATCTGCACAGCTTTTGACCCTGGGATCCTAAGACCCTTTGCCAGCAAGGTGTCTCTTCCCCCCTGCCTAAGATCCAGTAGCACAGGTCTGGTTGTCTCTATTTGAGCTCCCATGACAGGCCTGACAAGGGCCCGCACACAAGAAGAGACTCTTGTTTATTTCAACAAACCTTTATTGAGTGTCTGCTTTCTACCAGGCAATGTGTTGGGCACTAGAGACATAAATCGAAGAGTCCCTGCCCTTCAGGAATGTGTGACACATGGGGGGAGACATTTATTCCTTCATTAATCTTTAAATATTTATTAAGCAGCATGTGCAGGCTGAGCTGTGTGCTAGGCCCTGGGGACGCAATGATGACTCCAACAGGTTCCTGGCTTTCAGTAACTCAGTAAGCAGAGGACACAGGCAAGTAAAGTCACGCATTCAATACGTATGTATTGAGTGTGTGAGCCAGGCACTCTTCTGGCTGTTGGGGACACAGCAGTGAACAGTGCAAAGTCCCTCTCCTTTCTAGTGGGGGAAAAACGATCAGCAGATGGATGCAGAACGGCAGGGATGATCCATAATGTGAACAAAAAATAGCCATCCTATGGAGTCGTATGGAATCTTTTTTTTTTTCTTGAGATGGAGTCTTACTCTGTCACCCAGGCTGAAGTGCAGTGACGCAATCTCGGCTCACTGCAACCTCCGTCTCTGGAATTCGAGCAATTCTCCTGCCTCAGCCTCTCGAGTAGCTGGGACTACAGGTGTGCACCACCATACCTGGCTAGCGTCGGATGGCATCTAATTGAGCTCTGCAAATATCTGGATTCCTTGGCTTGGCCTACGAGGGCCCCAATCCCCAGACTCCAGCTTTCTCTCTATGACTGTTTCTCAGCACTCCCCACCTTCTGGGCTGTGTTCCAGCCACACCCACCTTCTGAGGATTCCTCCAACCTGCCGTGCGTGCAGTCTTGAGGCTTTTGCCCAGACCTTTCCCTCCCCTCTTCTTTGCCTGACCAACTACTCAGCTGAAGTGTCCCTTTCTGGGAGTCCCCTCTGATTTCTCAGACTGTGTTAGGTTCTTCTATTCCATTCCTGCAGCCCAGCGTGGGTGTGGCAGGCTCCTCATCTGTCTGCCCACCCTGTCTTGGAGCCAGCCAAGGGCCCAGACCACGTCTATCTTAGTTCTCTGTGCTGTCTCACCAGGGCCAGGCTCAGTGCCTGGCACAGGCCCCATCCCCTATCAAGCCCACCTATATTGACCAGGTTGGGTTCAACCAGATGAAGAACAGGAGAAGGGACATCCCAGGCAGGGCCCAAAATCTGCAAAGACGAAGCAGCTTGAAAGATTCCTAAGTGTTCCAGAAATAGGGATAAGGCCAACATAGGCATTTTAAGAAGAGCAGGGAACAAGCTAGAGCTAAGCACAGGTCCTGAATGTTAAACTAGGATGTCTGCGATTTGTCCTTATAAGCCTATAAACCAACTTCGATCATTCACGTGAGTCATCTACGACTTTGCCAAAGAGCCATGTGTCCCTGTACTGCTGTTGGCCTTTCTCTTTAAATTATCGTTTTGCTTCACTTTCATAACAACTTTACTGAGAAGTAATTCACAGAGTATAAAATTCACCCTTTTTTATTGAGACAGGGTCTCACTCTGTCACCCGGGCTGGAGTGCAGTGGCACAATCACGGCTTACTGCAGCCTCGACCTCCTGGGCTCAAGTGATCCTCCTGTCTGTCTCCCAAGTAGCTGAAACTACAGGTGTGCACCAGCATGCCCAGCTAATTTTTGTATTTTTTGTTTTGTTTTGTTTTTTTGTTTGTCTGTAGAGATGGGGTGTTGCTATGTTGCCCAGGCTGGTCTCAAACTCCTAGCCTCAAACGATCCTCCCTCCTCGGCCTCCCAAAGTGCTGCAATCACAGGCATGAGCCACCAAGAAGCCCAGCCAAATTCACCCTTTTAAAATGTGTAATTCAGTAGTTTTTAGTATATTCACAGCGTTGTGCAACCATCACTGCTATCGAATTTCAGAACATTTCTCGTTACCTTCCAAAAAGAAATCCTGTAGCTTTCAACAGTCTCTTCCCATTCTTCCCTACCCCTGCCTCTGGCAACCACTGACTTTTTTTTTCCTCTGGATTTGTCCATTCTGGACATTTGGTAGAAATGGAACCATACAGCAGGTGACCTTTCGTGAATGTCTTCTCTCAATTAGCATACTGGTTTCAAGATTCACCCATGTTCCAGCGTGTGTCCATACTCCATCTCTTCTCATCACCGGCCAAATAATATTCCATTGTATGTGCCTACCACATTTAGTTCAGCCATTCATCTGTTGACAGACATTTGAGTTGTTTCTACTTTTGACTACTTTTAAATAATGCTACTATCAATATTTAGGTACAAGTTTTTGTATGGGTGTAGGTTTTTATTTTTCTTGGGTATATACTGAGGAAAGGAATTACTGGGTCATGTGATGACACCAACTGTAACTTTTTGAGGAGCTGCTGAACTGTTTCCAAAGTGGCTGTACCATTTTACAACCCCAGCAGCAATGTACAAGCATTCCAGTTTCACCACAATTAGCCGTTCTAGTAAAGTGAGATCACATTGTAGTTTGAAGCGCACTGCTGTCTCATTGTGGTTTTGATTTGTGTTTCCCTAATGACTAATGATGTCGAGCATCTTTTCATGTGCTTATTGGCCATTTGTATGTCTTCTTTGGAGAAATGTCTATTCAAATCCTTTGCTCATGTTTTCATTGTATTTATCTTTTTATTGTTGAGTTAGAAGAGTTCCTTATACATTCAAGTCTTTTATCGGATTTTCTTTTGCTTTATTCTTAAAAGAAAAGCTATGTCACCATCTAAAATGGAAGAACACAGTGACGCCTGTCATACCTCAAAGGTAACTGTAAAAAATGCAACTCATTAATTCAATCAACAAATACTTAATAATCATCTTCTATGATTCATGTACCATTCTTGGCGCTGAAATACAGCAATGAACAAGACAAGTAACATTCCTTCTTCTGTAGGGTTTGTAATGATGTGGAGGAAAGCAAAAAGAAACTGTCATGCTCGGCAAAAAGCAAAAAGAGAGGGATGCAGTGGTGTCTGGTGTGACTATTGCTGAGTACTCAGGAAGGCCTCTCAGAGGAGGCGACCCTCCCAGCAGATAGCTAAAGGAAGAGAAGGTGCTGAGTGTGCAAAAATCAAGGGGGAGAAGTTCTGGGCAGAGGGAACAAGGTAGAACCAAGCTCAGCAGGTTCAAGGGCAAAGGCAGGGTAATGTGATGAGAGAAGAGTGAGCAAGGGAGAGAGGGGTATGGATGGAGTGGGAGAAACTGACAGAAAAAAAACCCAGTCACACCCAGTCACATTGCACCTTATAAACCAGAGCAAAGGGCTTGGATTTGTTGTAAGCACAAAGGGATGCCCTTTGAGAGTTTTAAGGAGTGGAGTGATGTAATCTGACGAAAGCTTTTTTTAATTACATTTTAAGTTTTGGGGTACATGTGAAGAACATGCAAGACAGTTGCATAGGTACACACGTGGCAGTGTGATTTGCTGCCTTCCTCCCCTTCACCTATATCTGGCATTTCTCCCCATGCTATCTCTCTCCAACTCCCACCCCCCGCTGTCCCTCCCCTATTCCCTCCAACAGACCCCAGTGTGTAGTGCTTTGCTCCCTGTGTCCATGTGTTCTCATTGTTCAACACCCACCTATGAGTGAGAACATGAGGTATTTCATTTTCTCTTCTTGTGTCAGTTTGCTGAGAATGATGGTCTCCAGGTTCATCCATGTCCCTACAAAGGACATGAACTCATCATTTTTGATGGCTGCATAGTATTCCATGGTGTATATGTGCCACATTTTCCCTGTCCAGTCTATCATTGATCCCCCAGCTGCCATGTGGTGGGTTTGGAGGGATGTAAGCTGAGAGCAGCATGAGCAGCCCAGAGGCTGCTGCAGCCTGGAGGTGAGAGGTGATGCCGCTCAGACCAGGGCATGAGGAAATGAAGGGAAGTGGCTATTCCAGAGTATGATTTGCAGGTCACATTTGCAGGCGTGGATAATGGATTGGATGGGAAAGGCAAAGGAGAGGAGTCAAGGATAACTCCTAGATGTTGTGACCATCTACCAAAGCAAGGCAGGCAAGGGGAGAGGCAGAGGCATGAGTAGCACAAGACCCCATTTCAGACTTGTAGATTAAAAACATCTATTGGACATCCAAATAGAAATATCAAGATGGCAGCTGGAAATTAAGCTGGGTAGAGAGGTGCATTTGAGAGTCACTGGTGGTGGCTAAGGCCCTGGGACTAGATGGAGCTCCAGACAAGAAGGGCATGAGGCAGAACCTGAGTGTGCACTTGCGTTGAAAGGACCCGTAGCAGCAGAAAAAGCCAAACAGGAGACCTGCAGGGAACAAGCGGGGAAGCAGGATAGCAAATGAGAACATGCGGCACTGGGGAGCCCCAAGGAGAAGGGGTTTGAGAAGGAAACAGTTGGAGAAATCAAAGCTCAGCACAAATCAACATTATTGAGTTCTGACTAGACCCAGATGTTTGCCAGTGGCTAAGTCTGACCTGACTTTCCTTCAGCAAAGGATGTGAATGACAAACCAGCGCCAAACTGGACTGTCCTCCTTGGCATCAATGGAGAACCGTTCAAAGTCCCCCAGGAGACCCAGGTCATGTGTCACCTAAGGTTATCCCCCAACCCCAGGGGGTTCTCGTGACACACTTTGAAAACTACTTTCATAGGCAAAGGAGAGTCATTGAAGGCTACAGGTGAGGGGAGTGACATGGTCAAATTAAAGGGGACAGAGAATGAGCTGGAGGAGGAGAGGCTGGGCAGGAAAAGCAGGATGGGGGCTGAAGCAATGGCCCCAGTGAGAGATGTGGTCTGGGCTAGAGCAGAGGAAGCTGAACCTAGATGTCTTCAGGAGGTCACCTGAACCCCACCCAACCCCTCAAGCCCCAGAGCCTAACACCTACTTTGCCAGCTTGCTTTCTGCTCATCCCAATTTCCACTTCTTCCATCAGCTCTCTCTGACCCTCCATCCTCACCCCTCTCCATTTTTCAGATGAAAAACCTGAAGCACAGAGAGGTCTAGCAAGTTGCCCAACATCACACAGTGAGTACACGGTAGAGCTTGGATTCAACCCCAGGGGGTCTGACTCAATCCATATTACTGTGATGGAGAGAGAATGGAATCCAACCCCCTATCCAGCAAGGAACCCCTTTGTTAGTGCTATCCCTTGCATACCTCCAGTGTCGGGCACCTCACGCCCTCCAGGATCAGCCTGCTTTGTTGGTCAGGTGGCTTCGTACATCCCTCTTTTTCTGTGCCACAGTCTGTCTTCCTGTAATTCCTCCACGTCGGCAATGCAGCAAAGGCCTGGGGAATGCCAAGGTGGTATCGAGGGTAAAGTGAGGACTCTAAAGCCAAGCAGACCTGAGTTCGTAGCTGTGTGTCCTCCAGCAAGTCACTTTACCTCTCTGAACATCCATTTCCTCATTTGTGAGCCTGACCGACGATGAAACTGACTTCTGTGCTGTAAGGATTACGTGGCAGATGTTCAGACATTGCCAGGCCCACAGCAAGCTCTGGATAAGTGGGAGTGTCATCCACTTAGGATGACGAGTGACGAGGATCCCATTTAGGATGACAAGATCTGCTCTGTACACTCTGTCACCTCCTTGCCCAGGACCCCTCACTCCTCTCCCTCAAAGTCATAGGTCCAGGTCCTCAGCCCCAGGCCCTGCTCTACTTCATCCCATCCTAGGCTTTCCCCTCTGCCCCCTCCAACTCCCTCCTGTGGCTCAGGTAAGCCCAGCTGCACCTGCTTCCCCCTCCTAATCAGGATGCCAGGGCCCCCATCCCCCCCACCCCCTGCGGAGCCCCATGGGGCTCCTCGTTAATTCCTCTTCCTCAATCAGCTGTGCTCTAGTGGCCTCTCTACTGATTGCCCCTTTGTTCTCTGCCAGGCCTCTGGAAGATGCCCAGACCCACCCACCGCCCCCTGGGTGCTGGCCAGCCAGCCTGCCCTGCCCACCTGGCTCTGTCCATTAGGCTGTGCCTGGGCCTGCAGCCTTCTGAGTGGGCTGGGGCGTGAACGGGGCGTGCACAAACAAAACCAACAGCAGCCTGTAGGTGTGTACACACAGGTGCAGTCAAGAAACAGACATACTTGTGTTAATTCCAGCAACACACACACACACTAAAGAGAAACAGCAGCCACCATGAGCAGGAGACAAGGCGCTATACACACATCCTTTTAAAGGACATCCACACCAACCAGGAAAACACACACATTTTTGCAGACAAAGCCCCACAAATCCAAACCACCAAGGGACACACACACACACACACACACACACACACTCCAGCAGGGGTTCAATCCACTCCAGCTTGGATTTCAGCTCTCTGCCCCTCTTCCCGCACCCCTGCTTCTCAACTCCTTGGATGGGCTGGTTAATGCCCAAGGCCCTCGGTCTGAGCAAGCACAGATAACAAGGCAAATCTCATTTCCAGAGCAGCCTGTGTCTGGCTTCCACCCCCACCCCACCTAATGTGAGCCCGGGGCTCACTCGGACACGCGCCCACCCAGTCTGCAACATCAAGTACTGAGGGTCTGGCTATCTGGCCCTCATCACGCCCCAAAGCCACTGTGTCCCTTTCTCAGAAGGGAAGGGTAGAGGTCTTAGGGCAAGCCCAGGGAAGGCTAGGGAGGGCCTGTCTTGCCCAGCGGCCCCCGACCCTTGACTACTCAAGGGACCTCATCGATTCCCTGTGGCCAAGGCTGGCCTTGCTCAGGAGGGTAAATGATCACATCCCAGCCGGCTGGCTGCCTCCACTTCCAGCTCAGTGCTCAGGGTGGCGGGGGGTCCCCTGAGAGCCAGCTGAGGTGGAAGGGGAGGCAGGAAAACTCTGGCAATCTGAGCTTGGCAAGTCCACTGTGGACCCTTCAGCTCTGAGGCCAGCCCCTGATGCACCAGCCTGAGACACAGCCATCCTGCAAGGTCTTTGGGGAGGAGAACTCAGACACTGCTGGGCAAAGTGGAGGGAGAGGGGGCACCAAGCTGCCCCAACCCTCACCCTGCTCCAAGATCGGTGCTCAGCTGGAACATGAAGTCTCGCTACAGAGGTTGTTAAAATATTGAACTACTTCCAAAACTCCTGGTAAACAGGTGCGGCCCCCAAGCTGTCTGAGTAACTCCAACACTGGTGCCTTCCCTTGGTTCTCCCTTGGGTCTCCCTTCATTCCCAAAATTTAGGTGTGAACACCTGGCACAGCAGGGGGCATCCACAGCAGGTAACGAAACATAGAAAGCATCATCCAGGCCCTTGGTCCTGATTCTGACTCTGTCTTCACTCCTACCTCACCCTGGATGCGACCCCTTACACCACCTCCAGCTGCCCTGCCTCGCTCTCTGACCCTAGGAGTTTGGAAGCCTGGGTGACAGAGGACCCCATCACAAGTTGAAGGGTCCTGCATGCAGCCCCTTAGATAAGGATCCTATTGGGCAAGGGTCTCCATAGAGAGTTGGGGCCACAAGCAGAACCCTGCCACACCCCATCTAAGGGAGGAAGGCCAGTCAAGTTCCTTCTCTGGATCTTAGCCAAGGGGAATGGCAACAGCCCTCCCCCCCCTGAGCCCCCCAGCTTCTGTCTCACACCCCTTGCTGTCCCCCACTGCCAGTCCCTCAATCATCTGTATGGATTCATTTCACAATAATTTCATTTCATCTCTGGCTCCAGAAAGATGGATCAGCCAGCAAGGTGATCAGGGAATCGGTGTTGGGCTCATAAATTTGCTGCCCCACTTTGAAGCTCCCATGAAGTCCCCTGTATTTGAGGTGGGGGAGCAGAAGGGGGATGAATATGACAGGCCCATCTCTCCCTGTCACCTTCACTAGGGGTGGGGGCGGGGGAAAGGGGATGGCAGAAGGGCAATTTGAACGCCTGAAAAAGAGAGAATTTCTCTGCCCTAGAAATAGATTCTCTCTCCACCCTTGTTACAAATAAGGCTATTTGTCATTTGGTTGGCAGGATAAACCCCTTGCCCCGCCCCTCCCAGCCCCAGGAGAGTCAGTCATCAGCTGAGTGGCAATGGGGAATAGGGGCAAGAAGCAGGGGTGGGTGCCTGTCCTCCTCCCTCTCACTGGTCAGCAGGAGGCATTGTGCTGGGCAGAATGGAAGTCTCAACCCTCCTGAAAGGAGGGAGAAACACACACACAAGCACAAGAACACACACATCATGGGCATCTAACCAGCATGCACACACACACACCAACACCTGCTAGAGAAGACACCACAAGTGCAATAGCAGGATGAAATCAGAGTAGAAGAAGGGAGCCTGGGATTTGGGATTGGGAGCCAGAAATTGAATACTGGTTCTGCTGTGTGGCTTTGGGACACTTACTTAACCTCTCTGAGCTGCACCTTGCTCAGCTGCAAGGATGACCACACACCCTCAAACGACTGTTGTCAGGACAAATGAGATAATATGGGAAAAGTACCTGGCATATGAATCACATCAAGAAGCCTGATTACTATTCCCACCCACACCTACTACTCCCTGACTACACACGCACGCATGCACACATGCACACACCTCTCCACTCTCCACATCTATCATGTGATTTCTGTTCTTTCCATGACTGCACAATTCCTAATTGACCTCTCACCTTGACCTTCAGGATCTTCCCAGAGTGGTGCATCCCAGAGTCTCCTGGGGCTGCATTCAGGTCTTCTACCCTGGGTCCACCCCCACCTCCAGGACATTAGAACCCTCCCCCTCCTATTCCACACAGTCCCCCAGACCCCTGCTTGCATGCTCCCAGCTATCCGGAAACCCACCCCAGAGTTACAGCTAGCCAGAGCCTACAGGTCATTTGGGACAGGTTAGATCAGTAGAGGATGGATGCCACTTGTGAAAAAGAAGCAGTGACTCAAATAGGGAAATAAAGTCCAGACTAGGGGGACGGTCCTCAGTTTTGGCTGACTCTCAGAATCACCAGGGAAGCTCTTTAAAAAATACTGATGATTGGCTGGGCTTGGTGGCTCATGCCCACAATCCCAGCACATTGGGAGGCCAAGGCAGATGGATCACTTGAGGTCAGGAGTTTGAGACCGGGCAACATTAGTGAAACTCTGTCTCTACTAGAAATACAACAATTAGCCAGGCATGGTGGCAGGCATCTGTAATCTCAGCTACTCAGGAGGCCAAGGCACGAGAATCGCTTGAACCCTGAGGCAGAGGTTACAGTGAACCAAGATTGTGCCACTGCACTCCAGCCTGGGTGACAGAGTGAGATTGTCTCAAAAAATAAAAATAAAATAAAATAATAGGCCAGGCATGGTGGCTCACGCCTGTAATCACAGAACTTTAGGAGGCCAAGGTGGGTGGATCACTAAGTCAGGAGTTCAAGACCAGCCTGGCCAAGATGGTGAAGCCCTGTCTCTACTAAAAAATACAAAAAGTAGCTGGGTGAAGTGTCAGGTGCCTATAATCCCAGCTACTTGGGAGACTGAGGCAGGAAAATCACTTGAACCCGGGAGGCAGAGGTTGCAGTGATCCGAGATCACACCACTGCACTCTAGCCTGGGCAACAGAGCAAGACTGTGCCTTAAAAAAATAAAAATAAAATAACAAATAATAAATCCTGATGGCTGGACTATGACCATCACATGTCAGCCCCATGGAAATTTTGTCTAATTGGTCTGGGATGTCACCTGGGTAATCCTAGGGGTTAGGAACAGAAACTTTGCAGCCAGGCAGGACAGAGCCCCAGCTCTGCACGCTTTAGCTTCCTGATAGTGGAAGAAGGTGCCGCTTCCCCTCTCTGCGCCTCAGTTTTCTCATCTGAGATACGGACCCAGCCAACCCAGGAAGGGCTTCGGGAAGATTTGGAACACCAGTCTTTAGCACAGGGCCTGGCACTTGGTAGTGCTTGAGAGGAGAGGGGCTTCCTCCCAGGAGCCAGGGAGGTTCCCTCAGCTCTGGGTAGTCCTGAAGTTGCTGCCAACCCACCCCAAGCCAGCTCCTTCCCTCCCGAACTGCTGTGCCCTCCCGCCTCTCTCCATATTAAACATTAGCCCCCTGCCTTCTTCCAGCCCCAGGCTCAGCATTTCATTCCTCCCACCCCACCCCATATTCACACTTCCCTGGGGTCCTTCAATTAGATTCACACAAGGGTCCCTTCCTCCTCCCGACCCCCAGCTTCCCAGATGAGGTGGGAGGGCAGGGAGAGGCGTCACTGTCCCTGATTTTATCCCATCACTCCGCCCTAATTAGTATTCCAAGGAGAGCCCTCTCCACAGGCCCTAGGATTTGTTTGCCAGCGGCCAGTTCCCTGTCTCCCCAGTTCAGAGTGAGTAATTCTGTCCCTCCC